ATTCGCATTACTGCGTGACTAGTGGAAAATAACTTTCGTAGTTTGCTTCCATCCACCTCTGACACTTTGACGTCGTTCCCGCTCTGCGTTTCCCATACTGTATACATCACCTGCCTTGCTGTATCAAGTGCATAATTGCTTATGCGTCCTTTTAGAAGAAGTGTTTCTTTTCCAAGCTTTTTACCCAAACGTTGTTTACGTAGCAAAGAATCACTGTCGCTCCTTAAAATTGAATACATAGAACATTCATTCACGTGTATCGTTATGGAAATATCAGAAGTGTACTGAAGTCCTGTTAAATATTGTTGACCTCTATCAAGGTCGTACAAAGATACATTGACATATTTTTCAGAAATGTCCTGTCCAAACAAAACTGTCAGAAATAGTCCGTTTGGAATCCGAATCCCTGAAGGAAATATACAGGCATGTTCATATGGGAGGATTGTTTCTCTGTGTTTGCCAATTTGATGCACAGCAGCGTCATTCTCTAACTGTCTGTTGAAACCTTTTTTGCAGAGGTGACTGCTCTTTGGCCACTCCTTTTCCTTGCACGGTTAATCTGCCTGCTAGGGTAAAGTTTCCCACAGACGAATATATAGCCGGTTCCTTTGTTTGCAAACGGACTCTGTTCGCGCATTCGTCCCTTAAACACTGCGTATTTCCAATAAGTAAAATGTGTTCCAATTTAAACAGAGTTGTCCTCCACTGATGCCCTCTTTTCTTGTTTTCATAGACCACAACACAGCCACGTTTGCTCGGGAGAATTGACGTTTCAGAGGCTGAGCATATTGCTCGCAAACAGCGTCGTGGGAGAAACTTGAAAAAGTCTTTGTGTAATTTCGTTCTAGCCCATGCCTGGTGACACCAAGACAGTTCTTGGCTGAAGCATGCCCTTGCTGTAAGTGTTTTAGCACGTGTCTGTTTTTGACACCTCGACGGCTCTTGGCTGAAGCATGCCCATGCTGTAAGGGCAAGTAACAGGGTACATTATCAACAAACACATAATTTGTCAGGTGAACGTTAATACTACGCCAGGACGGAGACTTGATCTAATGCTTGACGGAGAATTGATCTGAAAGCTATAATCTTGAATATATTGACGCCATTTTCAGGTTGAGATTCCCAAGTAAATGTGAGATATATTCATTTCAGGAGCATGAATTTTTTGTAGCTATCCGTTCCATTGTTCACTGAGCTATTTGTGCACTGTTTCATGTCCCACTCTTTCCACTTTCTTTGATAGTATGTTATATTGTATGTTGTATTCATAATGTATTTTGTTATTTCCTCAAATTTTACCTCCGGAACATGGTAGCATCCAATGAAGGGATTATCCATGCACATACCATGTTTCATTTCAATAAGTTCCGTGCCATATCTCGTTATTGCAGACAACATGTTTTCAGTCACTGATTCACTGATAAGACCTTTTTGAAATGTGATCGAAGGTAATCACATGATTAACGTAAGGCTGAGTCACACATGCGGCTTCTAGTTTGTACCGTGCTCCAACATATCATCTCTTGTTATTCTGTGTAATGTCCGAAGATGCATGTTGCTTTTAGTTTGTTAAAAGGAATGTGTCATATATGATATAACTGATACATATTAAAACAATACCATCCTCTTGAAAACTAGGAGACAGATAAGGCTGAATGATATAGATGTGGCTACAACAAAATTGAAGTTTGCTCACAAGCATTGGATTTGCACTCAACCTTACTGTAACTGAGTGTTGTGATACTGGATAACATACACAGGCACACACACACACACAGGCACACACACACACACACACACACACACACACACACACACACACACACACACACACACACAAGGGGATTTGTACTGGTCGTAACTTCTACTACTTCACAAGATCTTTCGCTGGACAAAACCCTTTGTTAAGCCATAACGTAGTACCAGCAAAGCGAATACAGCAAGCAGGCATTACAGGGCAGGCATTTGTACTGGTCATAACTTCTACAAGTTCACGAGATCTTTCGCCGCCCACCTGACTCCAGAACACTGACCAGACAACACCTGGGATATAAGCGTTCACTTCACCGATGACTCAGGTTTCCCCCTTCATCGAACATGATGGCAGTACACATCTGGCCATGCGTCTTGGAAGGGGGTCGTTTTGGGGGCCAGGGCCTTATGATTTGGGGTGGGTTAACAGCTGCAGCAAGGATGCCAGTGATTGCGATTGCAGGGAAGGCTGGCGAGATTGTGCATCAGAATGGTTTTGACATTGCCAGTCCACTGATCGGGCGTGTTTTTTTGTGTTTTTTCGTTGGTTTTTGTTTTTGTTTTTGTTTTGCTGGAAGTTGGACATCTGATACCCACGCTTGCTTATCAAACGCATTTTGTTGTGCTGTGTGACGAGGTACTGGAAGAACATATTGTTGCAGCCATGACGTCCTTCTAGCGAAGTGTACATATCACATTTTTGTCTCTGCAGTGGAAATATCACTCAGAAATCTCGAAATCTCAGTCTTCACACGTACGTAAACAATACAGAAGGATGTTCAGTCCAAGAACAAATATATACTGATAGACCAGTGGCTGTGCAGCTAGTTAACAGAATAAAGGAGATTGGTCCACCAGAGGTATGGCAAGATGTATTTGGTTCCGTTGGAAAGCTCGGAATCCCTAGTTTTCCAACGCCATGTTAGTCAAGTAACATTAGTGGAAAAAATCTCTCAACCTCAAAAAAATTGGTACAGAAATGGTTTTGTGTTTATATCGTTTACAATAGTTATGTAAACAATATATAAAAAGTCATCCCTTGGATGTTGATGCTAAGTGGCTTTCTTTGGGCAAAACTATGACAAAATGATATTTTTCAATTATTTTTTTCTATCTGAAAATATGTCCAGAAAAAGGTATAAAATCTTGCAAAACATACAACTGAAGTGTACAAAATAGTAAATAATGAAAATTAAAATTGATAAAAACTTATGACATGAGGTTTGAACTTGGATTTTGAACACTCCAGCGCACTGGAAACTATTAAATGAGAGTTATCTCCCCTCTGATTACAATAGATTGTAGTAGAAGAGTGGAAAGAAAAGGTTCTATCTTTTATAAAACTCTAACTAGATGAGGCTATAGTTAGCCTAATAGATAAAGGATTAAAAAGACAGCTAAAAGCTACAATTAAACGAGATGATGAGAAGTGAGTGAGTGAGTGAGTTGGGTTTTACGCCGCTTTTAGCAATATTCTAGCAATATCTAGGCAGGGGACACCAGAAATGGGCTTCACACATTGTACCCATGTGGGGAATCGAACCCAGGTCTTCGGCGTGACGAGCGAAAGATGAGGAGGAGGACTGAGGTGATTCTGCCCCCATAATTAGCCCACAGAACTGTATGCACTGCGGTCGTGTAAGATTACGCACCTTGGTGATAAATGGGACATTGCTCCTTCATGACGTGTAACTCTAGGTCAAAGGTCAAGGTCACAGCGATGTAATTACAGTTCATTTTGAAAAGTAAATATTCTATCTTGCATCTTTCTTAACTGATGAATGCATTATGCCTGCAGCATATGCATTTGCTATCGTAGAAACATCGTAGAATGCACTTTCTGAAAACCCAATTAAGAGGCATGCCATTTAGAGTGTTTCCATGGTCACCTTGCATTTTAATACCTAATAGAATTCATTATAACTGCCGATTGCATTAACTTCAGTTAAAGGTATTGTCTTTTGGGGGGTCTAATGATTTTCAGATATTTTGAGAGATTTTTTTACCATACACTAGTACGTGTCATTCATTATCAGAGATACGAATATGAATACTTCTAAGGCGTTGACATTTTACTCTACATCCTGTGTGAGGAAGATCGATGTTCTCCAGATTAGATGTACTCCATGTCAAGATATCTTATCATCAGTACACTTTTTCTATGGAGATTCCATGTTATCCATCAAGCTGCGAATTAGCACTGAAAGAAAACAAATCTTAAAAACAATATTTAAATGAGTCTATAGTCCGGACTCACAAAGTTATTTGAAAACATATACACTATCAAGAGCTAGGGCAAACAACCCAGCTTAATTCTTCAGTCGCTAAAAAACATTAATAGTTGTGTTAACCAAGATTAACCATATCACCCTCACTCTTTGGAAATCACTTAGGATACGAAACTGTATATTAACAGCAGGATTAAATATTGTCCTGTTTTGTGGACATGAGTCCAGTGATGTGCTTCAGTTTAAAATACGGTTGCCTAGTTCCACAAAAATGCTTGTAGGATATCCAAAGGCCATTGTGTAATTGATTTGCCTTCTTTTTCGACACAAATGTGATGCTTTACTATAAGAAACCCAAGATTAGCTTCTCGTTCTCTGTGGAAACCCGTGCAACTTTACATGTACGCATTGAGGAAAATATTTTTGCAGAAAATCATTTGAAAGAAATGCGAAAGGAAGTTTCAGTGCAATTGGTGTTACTATACGGAAATTCTGATAATGACAGATGATATATTAGCTTGGGTATAATGCAGCTTTGCTTCGTTTATCCATGTTTGGGATGTGGTCAAGAATTCAAACAAACAATTACTTTAGTGTAATTTTTGGAAACGAGCTTCGTCAGTCCGTCAATTCGTTTCAGGTGCAGAACTGATAATAATTTATATTTCTTCATGGCACTTTATATACAGACACAGTGCCAACTGGAAATCGGCTTATATGACATGGAACAAAATTTGGTTGGTTGGTTTGTTTAACGCCGTACTCAACAATATTCCAGCTATATGGCAGCGCTCTGTAAATAATTGAGTCTGGACCAGACAATCCTGTGATCAACATCATGAGCACTGATCTACGCAACTGGGAACCGATGACATGTGTCATGCAGCAAAGTCAGCGAGCCTGACCACCCGATCCAGTTAGTCGCCTCTTACGACAAGCATGGGCTGCTGAAGATCACATTTAATCCAGATCTCCATGTGTTTCATTGAACAAAAGAAAAAACGGAAACGCGAGATCACAGAAGTATATATGATATTTATTGCATCAACTTTGTGAATAGAAAGTAAAATGTTTACATGTCTAAACTAATGGCAACACGAATTAGAGATCATTAACACAGTAACAAAATACATGATAGAATTGATACACGTAGAATATGAATACTGAGGCTTATTGGCTCTTTGGTTTCAATAATATACCGTAACATGCTGTATAACAAAACAACAAAACAAAACAAAAAATTGGGGTACATTCTTTTCGAACATACTCAAAAGACCACACAATCTAAGCTAGAGATACCCTTAAGTATCTGCTATCATACAGTTATAACACAACGAAATAATTGTTCTTGGACATATGAGTAGACAATGAAGCTACCAGACAATTGTGCGCAGTTGAGGCGATTAGTTGACGCAGTTTCCCAGAATCAGAATAGATTGAGTTTGATAAAAAGTGAAAACAGTTTTAAACAGTGAATTCTCGTTAATGCGGACGGTAACGTCTTAAAAGTCATTGCCCGCATTTTCGGTTTAAAAATAATTGAGTTGTAATCGAAACATATGTCATTGCTGTTCCTTCTGAAGCGACGCGTATTAACCCTTCCATATTTACAGTTGCGATATGCTTAACTTCTGCATGATCTTCAGAATATAAAGTGTTGGATAAGTTTTAGTTAGCCTGCAGGGTGGTACAGAAACTATTCTAAATTGTGTTTTTGAAACACGTAGGAACTAATAATTTAAAAAGAACATATATACTCATAGAATAAAAATAAGGGAATACATGAAAGTACAAGTGTTCCTTTATTTATTCCCAGAATTTCACCCACAGTGCCACACATACCTTGTGAAGAAACCTGGAAAAGAATTAAGGAACACTTGTACTTTCCTGCGTTTCCTTATTCGTTTCCATGAGTATATTAATTTGACATTTTAGTACCCTTTAAACATAAACATAAATCATGATTGGGATTTATATAATCAGAGAATTTCAATTTAACTATCATTCTAAGAGTTAGAACGGCATAAAATAAGTTGTTTAACACTTCTGTATATAAAATAAAACATGTGGTGGTAAAAGAATGAACTGCATTTTTTGGGAGTTAACAATGCAGACAACACAAGATATTCCATATGTTTCAGAACTTATTTCAAATTTCAGGCTGATCCAAACCAATCTGAGTGAGAATGGTCTCTGAAGGCTTTGTCACTACAGCCGTTTACTTCCACGTGGACTAACCTATATAGGCGTTACAGAAGTCTTAGAGTCACTTCGCAAACTCAGGCTCTGCGAACCCTGACTATCTGGACTACCGAGTCCGGATTAACGAGGTTTCACTGTATATAAAGGAAATCTTAGGCTTACTGTTCTGAACATACATTTTTATATTACGAAGGCCCGCTTACCCCTTTTTTAATAAATGGAAGGGGGTATTGATGAATTGTGATATATCGTATATTTCGCAACATACCACCATGGTGTTTTGTCATAAAAGGAAATTCAAAAACCTAAATTTGATTTAAGTGATAGGGGATGTTATTGGATATGATTACTGTATATTGCTGTCAAAGGTTTCCTTTAGGTACGGCTGTTGTGGGTGTATTATCACCGCATATGGCCGTCATAGTTTCATTAAGATCTTCAAACCGTCAAACATGGTACATTGGAATGTCAGAAAACGACGTACCAAGTATCAAGAGATAGTTTAGTCCAAATATTTAATGGTGGCGTCACGAATGTAGCAAAAGGCATGACGGAAGTTGGTATACGTTTCCACGGCGACGGATGTTCTTCACCTGGATTGCATCATCAACACGAACTCTACAAACAAAAGTGTACTCATCATCATTTCAAGGGTAGGCTCCGGGAACATGATTATACAAACAGCTGCAAGTGGACGCTTGCAGATGGAAAACACATCAAACAGGGCCCCGTTCCTCAAAGTGATCGTAGCGCTAAGATGATCGTAACTCCCATACTTTAACATAGACTTACGACAGTCGTAGCTGTACGATCGCCTTGAGGAACGGGTCCCTGGATCATTATGGCAAATTCAGCGCCCAATGCATACGTTTCCAGGGCAGGACCCCGTTCCTCAAAGCAATCGTAGCACTAGGTTGATCGTAACTCCCATACCTTAACATAGACTTACGACTGCCGTAGCACTAAGATGATCGTAACTCCCATACTTTAACATAGACTTACGACTGTCGTAGTACTAAGATGATCGTATCTCCCATACTTTAACATAGACTTACAACTGACGTAGCACTAAGATGATCGGAACTCCCATACTTTAACATAGACTTACGACAGTCGTAGCACTAAGATGATCGTAACTCCCATACGTTAACATAGACTTACGACAGTCGTAGCACTAAGATGATCGTAACTCCCATACTTTAACATAGACGTCCGACAGTCGTAGCACTAATGATCGTAACTTCCATGCTTTAACATAGACTTACGACTGTCATAGCACTACGATCGTTTTGAGGAACAGGGTCCTGCATACCATCGTAGATTGCTAATGGACGACGCGTCATAGTAGCTTATAACTGGATAACTGTTTTACAAATAAAAAAGACAGGACAACATACCATCATATCCATCTAAGGACAACGTGACTTCTTATCTGTCTACAGGATAATGTACCTTCATACCTAGACTCATAGCGGACCTTCATATGCAATTGAAGGGCAATAGATTGTCATACACTGAACTCAACCACAAGACAACGTACCGTCATGTCTTGCTATAGGGCACTCAGCCGTCGTAACCAACCAATAGACACTTTGCAGTCATTTCCAACAACATGATACCATCAAACCCAAAAGCAGAGTATACTAAATTGAGTGAAAGGAAAACTAAATTCTATGAATAGTCAACTTCTTTATTGCAATGAGTGCGACGTTTCGGTGTAGGTACTAACACTGTTATCAAGCAAGTGATGTGAGTTAGTTTTCTTGCAGATGTTAACAGACCTTGAACCTGGAGAAATCTAGAGTTGCTTCATTTAAGGCTTTAGCATTGCAGGGAGGGCTAGGCATTAAGGAAAAAATGTGGTTCAGGGGCTGTGAGACAGACCGAACGCTCTACCAACCAAAGGGCATTCATTCGATCGTCATTTCCAACTACATACCATCATACCCAAAAGCAAAGCGTACTTTCATATCCAACTGTGTATTATCATAATGTACCATCATACACAATAGCTAACCACAAGTCAACCGTCAAGTCAAGCAACCCGGCACTCTACCATCGCAAACAACCAAATGACAGTCAGCCATCATCTCCAACTATATCACGAAAACGTACCATCATAGCTGATCTTCTCATCGTTGTTCTTATCGGCCTCTAGAATCATGACCCTGATCTCGTCGTCAGTCAGGTTCTCCCCCAAAGCCTTCATCACCTGCTTCAGTTCCCTAGCATCGATGTAGCCGTCGCCATCTTGATCAAAGATCTTGAACGTCACCTTCATCTCTGGCTCCATCTGAGACTTGGATGTTTTCGTCATCACTGCTACGAACTCGTCGAACTCAATAGTGCCATTCTCTGCAGAAATAATTGTCATTAAGATAAACTAGAGATGACTTGTAATGATGTTTGTTTGTGATTGGTACATTTTCAATTTAAAGGCACTATTTCACACCGCCCTACTCTAAACATAAATAATGCATTTTGCTCAACAATGCTAACTATCAGTCCTCAGGGAAGATGCCATATAATTTTTCCTAAAATACTTACTTATTTAGATTACAATATTAGATTAAAAAGTTCGAATAAATTAATGCAACGTTGCATTAAATCGACTCTCGTACCCTCTACCGGCCGAACATTATTTCATGCGAACCCCATAGAGTTCTTTACGAATATCCTATAACTCCTTTGGAGACGGAAGTCAGTTCTAGACAAACTGACGCTAATGTCTGGCGCAAAACCATACGCGCACTTTTGTGATTGAAACCAGTTCGGCAAACACCGAGAACACCGCGTGCGACAGTTTTCGATGTATGGAGCAATTGTTTACATTCCATATATAGCAAGTCTTCTCTTTTGGAAGCTGTTCGCCTCGAAGTTTCAATTATCGATTTCAGGGATAATAAGTCTTTTATTGCATCAATAGGAAGCTAAAGTGAGTGCATATGCCCCAATATATATAATCAGGGATAATCTACAACGTTATATAGTCACCCTGATATAATATAGGCCAAAATATAGTCGAACATGTGTTATATTGTGCCATTAAATGATCGACAACATTATGAGGTATCTACAGAGGCAAACAGGTAAGTATTGCCGCTGATCTACGTTGTAATGATATACTTTCCAAAACGTAGAGGATCAGGAAATACAGATGTCAAGATCAGTCATCAGAACAACTTTTAAAACGACTGCTAGAGTAGATAGAACTGTCACAGAACCAAGACATTACGTCCTCACACACTTTAAATATTGCACGCAGAGCATACAATTTCTCCATGCTGTTGCTAGGGGGTCTTTGATTTTGAGACTTTTTTGAAAGATCGTCCAATGAAGCCATTATCGTGGCATCGTTTTACATTATTCACAATAACACGTAGGCTCTTGACTATTGCTCTTATGCAGTATTTACGAAACAGCGGGGAAGGCAAGTCTACAACATCTACAACGTGATGAATGCGTAAGTGGGCTATTGGCAATTATCACACCGGTAGAGGTCAGCGACGGAGGACCTGATATGTTCATAGGCGGATCCAGAGGGGGGGGGGGGAGGATTTGCAGGGTCCCCCCCCTTGTCCTGAAAGTTTATTAAATGACCATTGAGACTCGGAAAAAAATGAAGTGTGCACCCTCCCTTTTCTCAATAGTGTGCACCCCCCTTTCTCAAAAAAGCTGTATCCGCCCCTGATGTTCCATACATGGGTGATATGCTAGGCTGTTGCTGACTGCTACAAAACATAGTATTAGTCCATTTATATTGCTCATGTGTCCATGTACATTGCACGTTGACATATTACCCCTTGTCACCGAGAACAGAATACTCCCTGTGGAGAATACAACCGGTCGCCTGTCAGGCGCTCAAGGTTCAAATTCAAATTACCATCGTATCATACCAGGTACCCAATTTACTGCTGGGTGGGCAGAGGGAATTTTGAACAAACTCAATTGCCTAAGGTGAGACCATATGTATCAGATGTGCTTTCACATGTCAAGACATGTGCTGTGTCTACAAAGTTATAAAGCATTTATGGCTGACAATATATTTCCAATTTTCGGAATTCCTTCATGTTTTCATCCTTAGTTAATATCCATGAAAATATCATGTTGTTTTTTGGTAAAATCCTTTGTCCGAAACTGACCGCAGCGCGAAACCCAAACCCGATTATGCATCCATCTCTTTAGTGGCTGACTCTGACTCCTCTCAAGAACTTGTTTTATGGTGGGTATTGATGCAGGTATCAGATATTAATTACCTCTGTTTGATTTTCCATAAAACGTTTATTTGTTATTTGACCACGGCCATTCTCTTGAAGAAAGAAAAATAATCAGCATCAAAGACCCTATGGTAATCTTGTTCTCGGACGAAAAATAACAAAGACCCATTATCCTTGACATGATACATTTCAAGCATAGAAAAATGCAGTTCGTTCCCATAATCTGTGATTTCGATATTTATGTCAGTAAATTATGTGCGAAAAAGGGGTATTTCGTAATCTGCATTTAGTTTCAACTTCCTAGTATGAACAGAAGTTAATGTTAGGGAAAACAAAATGCGGCAGTGATACGGCTAAGCAATTCTATTACAATAATATATCCCGTTCAAAACTAGATGTACAGAGTAAACAACTTCATCAAATTAAACTGCAATTCCTGAAGACGCAGATATTAGTTCCATATAACCCGAGTTTTTAAGAGGCATTAACTCCTAATTGCGTTTACTTTGGTGAAAGGTTTAATCTCAGTTATTGGAGTATTTGTTCGGTGGGAATATTGCCAGCGCTTCATTGGAATACTCTTTAAAAAAGGTCATCACAGCCCTGATTACATGTGTATGGCTACAAATTGTTTTCTGGTTCTTGTTTGAACCCAATCTTCTTTGATGCCAGCAGTATGACAGACTGAAGACAGAAATCTAATTGCAAAAATAATGTTTTCAGTTGATTATGTTGCAGCGTAAAAACGCATGCCCTTATGAAAAGAGGTTAGGAGTAAATGAAGCAGTTGTTCTGGTGAACCACTTACTGTCTATATCCATGTTGGTGATCATATCCCTGACTTCAGTGTCCGTGGGCTTGATGCCAAGTGATCTCATCACCGTCTCCAACTCCTTCGGCGTGATGCGACCGTCTTTGTCTTCGTCGAACATGGAGAAGGCCTCGCGGTATGCTGTTGAAAGGAGTGAGTGAGTTACTTTTACGCCGCTTTTAGCAATAAATCCGGCAATATCACGGCAGGGGACACAAGAAATGAGCTTCACAAATTCTACCCATATGGGGATTCGAACCCGTGACGAGCGAACGCTTTAGGCTACCCCACCGCCCCCTTAGAAAGGAAGAAAATACACGTCAGGATTTCTGGGTGAGGTACAGTTTTGTTTGTTTGCTGTTCAACGCCGCACTCTGCAATATTTCACCTATATGGCGGCCGTCTGTAAATAATCGAGTCTGGACCAGACAATCCAGTAATCAACAGCATGAGCATTGATCTACGCAATTGGGAACCGATGACATATGTCAACCAAGTCAGCGATCCAGACCACACGATCCCGTTAGTCGCCTCTTACGACAAACAAGGGCTGCTGAAGACCAATTCTAGCCAGCATCTTCACACGTCGCTAAGGTTAAGTAGGGATAAGGGTACATCATTCGTGAAAATATATTACTTTGTGACAATGTTTACATATTGCTCAAACAAAGTATATCTTATTTGAATAAACAAAAGTTATAAGTAGTAAACTGAAAGAATATGCATTTAACAATATATCAAAACACAATGTTTGCCCCTTGCCCATCGCCCTTTCCTTTCAGGAAGAATAAAGTACTTAGGGTGCAGTGATGATTAAATGTATTCTATCTCAATGAAACACCCCTTATATGTATGTTTTTTCACCTTAACACATGTATAAACAAGTTATATGTCATCTCACTAGCACAGCTCCAAGATGTGAGGAAATGTGAATAATAGCGTACATATTGAAACTTGTATTTAATAATTCAAGCCATCAACTCGTACAATCGTATTACCCCAGCAATTAGATCACAACCCAGTCAATAACTCTAGAACACTGCTGTGGTAAAGCCTTTATTCAGAATATAGAAGTACAAGGCAAAATGATGAATCTAAGAAATGGATTTTCCTTCGAACTTCACAAAACGATTTTGCCATGACAACAAAATGAATTATACTGGCATCGGGAGTGAACGTTGCTTCTGGGATTCCGTTTGCTCATATATGCCTTGAATTGCCCAGTTGGTGTATGTGATGTCATACATAGAGGCTGTTGAAATTCAATTTACACTCCAAAGAATATTGCACAGAATGGTTGATCTGAAAACTTGAATACTAGTATTCAGAGAAATATATTGATCAACATGCTTTATGCCGGTCTGCAAATTTAAACCATTTAATGGTAACCATGGATACATGAAGGCTTGTGGATCTTGATATTGCTGATGCTCTACGCACAAAGCATCGATAATGAGTCCATATGCATGTGTTTCTGAATCCCGATATGTTTGTCAATCTAATGATGATACCAGGCGTGTGCAAAAAGGTAAGGTGATCATACCCCTCCGGTGGAACCCGTCAAAAGCACAAGCAAAGTCAAGGCAATTGTTCGCTTGAAAAACAACATGGGAACACTCACGTATGGTTCAATTCAAAATAGGGGGAAAAATGGGAATTGTATCATTTTGTTGTCACTGACACAAAAGCCTCAACATATCTACCGTAAACCTTTATGAAAGCTTTACTGAGAAGTTTTTCAACCTGAACAAACAGGTGACCAAGATTGGAATGGCGCCATTTAAAACGTTCAAAGAAAGAACACGCTCGATTGTGCCGCAAACATTGTGAAATATGGGGCGTAGCTACCATTATAAAAATAGCCCGGGCTTACACATGATTGTTGCTAAAAGGTAGGGCAAACCCTCAATACTATCTAAATATGAAGCTTTGCAAACTATCGGGCTTACACGATAACAATGGCTTGCTACGCACCTGGAAATAAACACACCAAATGCTGGAGCTGAGTGACTATTGTTGAAGCCATCTCTCTTTTCGGGTATGTTGTCTATTTTCAGTTCAGATGGGTAAATCTGTATTGGGGAATGGGTTATGTGCGTCGGAGCTGAGTGTTGAACTTCTTTGCCAAACTGATTTCCCAATCCCCACAAAATTCCAAACCATATGCATGGAACAGAGATCAGCCAGAAAGGGAGTACAATTGGTGTCCACTGATGACAATTTGAGCATGTGACCCAAATTTCACCCAGATGTTATCTATGGGGGATATCAAGAATTTCACCTACTGTTTTGTTCAGTATGTTTCAGCTGTTTGCTTCAATTAAACCAACTGTATTGAACCTTTGGAGATGGAGGTGTAAGTATACACATGAGTATTATTCACGCACTACCCACTTGTTTATATACATTAAAAACATAACATGCTGCTTAATATGCTTGCAAACCAGATTCCGCGCCCACATTTTACTCTCACAAAACCAAACCAAAAACAAACAAAACAAAACAAAACAACTCCAAACAAAACAAAATACAAACAAAAACAACAAAAGTTATATCTGGTAACAATTTACTTGCGATCCGAGGGGAATATATCAAAATGTCCACATCAACACCATGAATACGTCACCAATCTGATTGTCACACAGTCCTCAAAGAATAATTGTTGTGGTTACATAAACCACCACTGGCGATGACAACATTACCTGAGGTACCGAATTCTCCGCAGGGATAACGTATGCCAGTCCCCTCCTTATACTGGCAGTTAAGTGTCGCATTGTGAGCCCAGGAATCCTCTGTCATTCCTGATGGAGTTCCTGTGTCAATACCTGCAGGCAGGATGATCTCTGCCTCACACCTGGCATCCAAGATGTTCGATGGTTCATATCGGTGCTTCTTACGGACCATGGTATTGTTTTGATATCAAATCAAATTCTTTAAATGGACGATGAGGGCTGATGATGATAATTAAAGAGTATTCCTGATATTGCTTGGGGATACCCGATGATGTTTAACTATATCGTCTTCCTGATGTTCCATGGTGATACCCGATGATGTTTAACTATATCGTATTCCTGATGTTCCTTCGTGATACCCGATGATGTTTAACTATAGCGTATTCCTGATGTTCCTTGGTGATACCCGATGATGTTTAACTATAGCGTATTCCTGATGTTCCTTGGTGATACCCGATGATGTTTAACTATATCGTATTCCTGATGCGTATTGTTTAACTATATCGTATTCCTGATGTTCCTTGGTGATACCCGATGATGTTTAACTATATCGTATTCGTATTCTGATGTTCCTTCGTGATACCCGATGATGTTTAACTATAGCGTGTATTCCCGATGATGTTTAACTATATCGTATTCCTGATGTTCCTTCGTGATACCCGATGATGTTTAACTATAGTGTATTCCTGGTGTTCCTTGGGGATACCCGATGACGTTTAACTTAAGTGAATTCCTGATTTTGCTTGGGGATACTTGATGATGCCAAACCATTATGTATAGCTTCATTTGTCTCCACGTTGTGAGCCTTAAGAAATAGAAACGCCCAAACCCTTTCCACATTCATAAGGAATCTCTGGAAGAAAAGTAACAACGTGTGTGTGTCGCCTCCTTTATAAAAATTAACTCAGTATGGAATGGACCTGAAACTTCAATAACATCGCCAATGGCGAGTTCATGAGTGTTGAGTGACATGACGTCAACGATTGTGTAATAGCGATAACATCTGGTTATGTAAGGGAGCCTTGCTAATCGTTTCTTAAATCACCTTTATCATGCAAAACTTGACACAGTGACAGTGGAAGCTCTATCCAAGCATAATAACTAGTGGGATAGCCTTTCCTCTTCACCATTACGTGTCCGATGGTTTTCTTCTTATGTAACAGTGGTACAATATGCTACTTCTTATGTAACAGTGGTACAATATGCTACTTCTTATGTAACAGTGGTACAATATGCTACTTCCTATGTAACAGTGGTAAAATATGATACTTCTTATGTAACAGTGGTACAATATGTAACAGTGGTACAATATGATACTTCCTATGTAACAGTGGTACAATATGCTACTTTTAAGGCTTTGACATTGTAATCTACATCCTGTGTGAGGAAAATGTGCTTCATGTCAGCATCTCTTGTCGTCAACACTGACATGTTTCTATGGAGATTCCATGTTATCCATGAAGCTTTGAGAGAGTAGCAGAAGCAAACACTTTCAGCTATGAATGGGTCATTGTTGGGAAAATATCCAGATGGCGGAAAAGGGTTCTTGTCTCAAACACAAGACGGTGATATGATATTTGTGTACTATTATGGTGAATTCCCACCCTAACTTTCAAACCACAATAGAACAGAAACAGGCAACTGAGACACAAATAATTCACCACACACGATTATTAATGTTATGTAGGGGAGCTCTCTTCACGTCGACTTATAAAGTGTTGGTGCTACCTTTTCTGATGGTGTTATAAATTGGACTAAAACTACTGATTTGAAATATACGATTTATGCAGAATATGCAAACTTTGGTCAATGGCTGTTATTTTTTTGGGCCCTATACATGTATACTGAAAGGCAAAAGAAATATCGTAATATTGGAAATGACATTTAAGTATCAATGGAACATTTGAACCTATTTTTAAAAAATAATACGCCACTGAAATGCAGTACCTACTTTCATCAGAGGAGATAACCCCTCTCCATTGTCCCCCACGACAGTTTTGCCGCTGTTGTGTCCACTTGGATACGTTCCCGGCGGTGACGTTGGGTGAATATGGGTCTCCTGGCAGGACATCGACAAAACAGGTTCCTGGCTTGGAGACGTCGCCGAATGGTAGGTCACTGACTGGTCGCTGGTGGTTTCCTATGGTCACCCAAGCTGTTTCTCTGGCGCTTGCGAATAGGTCTTGCACGTGTTGATGGACGATATGATGGTCCTGGCGACGTGTTGTTACACGGGGTTGACCACTACGTGGACGGTCATCAGTGCTGCTGGTGGCGTTGTATCGCACTCTAAGACGTTCTATCGTTCGTACACTGCAACTGAAGTCATTAGCAATGACTCGAGCATGTTGACCAGCGTGCAGACGTCCAATAGCTTGTTGTGGTTGATCTCTCGTTAACCTAGTCATAGCTGCTGTGTTCAGAAAACAAGTGAACGATTGCCATTCAAGCCGGCAATTTATGCCTGAATGCATTTATGATGCACGTGCATCTCGATTTCAATGTTGTGTTTGTGGGAACTTTTCCCTCTCCAAAAAACAAAAACATTTCTAACTTCAATCTCAAACAATACTTTATTGGGCAATGCAGGCTATATGACCACGATTCATGTTTCCTCAAACTTGACTTCTGGTGTATATTTACAAAAATAGGTTCAAATACTCCATTGATACTCAAATGTCATTTCTAATATTACGACGTTTCTTTTGCCTTTCAGTATATATTACATTGAAAGACCACTGAATTCAACTCAACACCAGGTGCTTCGCCTATTATCTTACAAAACAGCGCGTTCTTTCCCAGAAGTCGATTTACCGGTAGCACATTCTCAGGAATCCTGCTGTACATTATCAACACGGTTTGTTTATCTAAAAAATACACCCTTAAAATATGAACCATCATAATTAGCCTACCCCATATACCTTGATGGGGTTTAAATTCGAGCCACCAATAATTTGTTTGTTGGTGAAAAGCACCAAACTGTCTAGCGTTCACTGGAAAAATGTAAGAATGTCCAAAGGGCTCGGGTCGTTATTCAAATGCAGTTTGTTGAAAAAACATATCCAGCACAAAGCCCGTGTTGTACTTTAGCTTTTACCGTCAATTGGGATACAATGAGAATTTAATGAAATTAACAGAGACTTCCTACAATGTAGATAGGTATCTGTATTGTTCTAGAAGGACAGGGACTGCGATTGCAGTGATGGATTTGAAAGCTAAAGGACGAGATGGCAGTCGATGCCAGACAGATAGAAATCCGGTCCTGGCTCCTGGGAGGGCTAATTACCTTTGCAAGCATTATCCATCTGGCAAACGCTCGACGGTCCTTTCGAATTTTGTTTGATGTTGCAACTGTTTCCTGGGGGAGGGTTAATTCTTGTCCTGTTTTCGCAATGATTGTTTGATATGAATCAATGACATGCTTCAATCCAAATTATGTCACCTTAAATCAAGTAACATTTTTGTAACCATGGCCTTTGTGCAAGGATTTACTTAGAGTTTTCTTCAAGACCTTTCAAGTAGGGCACAAGGCTACGCACGTGTGACATTAAACCAAAAAACATTCATAAGCGATTTGACTTATATAAGTTATAGAAAATCCTATCATGATAGAGAATCATTTGAAGACATCCAGTGATTTGCTGCGGAAATAACTCTGTAACTACATGGCTATTTTGAAAATGACATTATATTATATCTATATATAGATCCGTTAATAGCAAGCTTTAGATATATGAGGCCTGGTTTTCAATTGTGTAAGGTCACAACGACATTTGGGTTCGGTATAATATGATTTACAAACACAATAATTAGTTTGCATTGATCGCTTCTTTCCACGTATATATGTGTCAAATTCTTTTTATCTCTCTTGGGGGATATTGTGTATATGTCTACCAAATATTCTCATGCCAATAATGGTTGTCACCCCCTTCAATTTTTTTAATTGGAGAGGGGGTTGGGGAGGGGTGTGTGAGGTGTGCGTGTGTGTGAGTGAGGGGTGTGTGTGTGAGAGTGAGGTGTGTGAGTGAGGTGTGTGAGTGAGGTGTGTGTGAGTGAGGTGTGTGTGAGTGAGGTGTGTGTGTGTGTGAGTGTGTGTGTGAGTGTGTGAGTGAGGTGTGTGTGTGAGGTGTGTGTGTGTGTGGAGGTGTGTGTGTGTGTGTGTGTGTGTGTGTGTGTGTGTGTGTGTGTGTGTGTGTGTGTGTGTGTGTGTGTGTGTGTGTGTGTGTGTGTGTGTGGTTTTGACAACCATTATTGGCATGAGTATATGACCGGCTACCAGACTGATGCAGTTTTTCAAATGCAAATAAAATATATTCTAGAATAGGTAGGGCGATGCTTGGTGATGCCTATCTGGTGATACTGTGTTATACTTGGTGATGGCTGGTGATGCTTTATGATACTTAGTGATGCATGGTGGTGCGTGGTAATACTTGGTGATGACTGGTGATACCTGGTGATACCTGGTGATGCTTGGTGATGACTGGTGATACTTGGTGATGCTCTGTGATGCTTGGTGATACTTGATGATAATTTTTTATTATTATCATAGGATATTTATATAGCGCACATATCCAGACAACTAGTGCATGCTCAAGGCGCTGTTTTTTGTCCCTCGATCATTGGATGTCACTCTAAGCGGCACATCGTACTTTCAATCTCAACTCCCTGGGGACCATACAAGTCTTGCATCCACTAGGAGCACCGAGTTAACGTGGCTTTCCCATCCTTACGAGGTACCCATTCATAGCTGGGTGGACTGGTACACATACTCACAGTACTTTGTCCAAGTTCACTGCACGTAGCTGTACCCGCAAGTAGGTGTTTGCACGTATTCATGTGGCCACCATCTGGTCATATACCAACGGATTCGTGAGTTCTTTTAAGTGCACAGGGTTGTGTACTGTACACTAGGGGTGGTGACAACACTGTGACTCCAAGGTTTTTACACCCGGTCACAGGTGGGCTCGATCCCGACACCTCAAGCTCGCTGGATCACAAGCCTCGCGCCTTAGCCAGCTCGCCCACCACGCCCCCTTTCTTGATGATACTTGGTGGTGCCTGGTGATGCCTGGTGATGCCTGGTGATACCTGGTGATGCCTGGTGATGCCTGGTGATACCTGGTGATGCTTGGTGATGCCTGGTGATGCCTGGTGATGCTTGGTGATGCTTGGTGGGGTATCATGATACTTGGTGAGGCCTGGAGATACATGGTGTTGTCTGGTGATGCTTGGTGATGCTTGGTGATGCTTGGTGATGCCTGGTGATGCTTCGTGATGCCTGGTGATACTTGCTTGGTGTGCCTGATGGTGATGATGCCCTGGTGATACTTGGTGATGCTTGGTGATACTTCGTGATGTCTGGTGATACTTGGTGATGCATTGTGATGCTTTGTGATACTTAGTGATGCTTCTTGATACTTGGTAATACTTGCTGATGCCTGGTGATGCTTGGTAATCCCTTGAGATACTTGGTGATGCTTTGTGATACTTGATGAGGCCTAGAGGTGACTGATGGTCCTGTTCACACCTGACATACTTCAAAAATCTCTGGAGATTATTGACGATGTCGGTCGGTTCCTGATCATGATAACCACAACCATTTTACGCGGCAAATTGATGGAACCATGCAATATCCACAGACTACATCAAAGAGGAAAATGATTTTGGAACTGACTTTGGTCCTTTTTACGCCTATGAGGTGAGGTGAGGTGAGGTGAGGTGAGGTGAGGTGAGGTGAGGTGAAATTGGATTTAACGTCGTGCTTGAGAATATTTCGCTCATATGACGACGTGCATGCGTGTGTGTGTGTGTGTGTGTGTGCGGCTTCTTGTACTAGCCCAGACTTAAGCTGGTTTTATAGTGCTAGCCCACTGAGATACTATGCCGCAGTGAAAGCATGGATACCTCACTCAGACACATACTGACTCCGAGCCGACCAGTCCTTGTTGTACCCATTAATGCCGAACGCCAGGCAGGGACCAACAAGTACCATATTTTAACGTCTTTTGATATGACGCGGTCGGGGATCGAACCCGCGACCTTCCGCTCTCCGGGCGGACGCTCTAACCACTACACCATGGAGGCGGTCTTTACGTCTATGAAGAAATGTTCACAGATGTCTGCTCACACAAGGATAATCACTAAGTGACCCGTTGTAGTGATATCCGTTGTCTCCGATCCTTTCCGAAGTCGGCTCAATACATACATAAACAATGTACATACATTTTAATGGCCAAATGTGGTTAGACACATTTAGAGAACAGTTATATGTAGGTGAGACTCGCACAGTGACGTATCATCGATCAAACGGGAGATTGTCTCCCTTGGGGAGGCAGTGAGTATTCCATAACAAATGGTTCTATTAACTCTTTCGGCGTGATAACACGGACCGGACGAATGAATGCGAGTTAACTAAAAATAACCACTTATTGCTTGTGTTTGGGTGCTTATATTTTGTACTCAGTGGTTGGTATATCGCAGTGTAACTGCTACAGTATTCTAATTTGGGGTTGATTATAACGATGTTTCCGAAATCTTCCATGTGCAATGCATTTGCTCTAACATTTTATAAAAATGCTGTTCAAGAATCTATAAAATGCTGGTAAAAATATTTAATTCAAATGTTTAACAAAACCAAATTCATGGTGCCGTGGAAATATATTTTATGATCTTACCATCGAGCTGTTCCTTCGACAGATCCTGTTGCTGAAAATGAGAAAAGAAAACATTATACACGCGGTGTAAATAAAGATAGATTTCTTTAACATGACTTTATTGACTGTATATTATGGAAACGTGGTTTTCTTAAGTTGAATGGTACCTGATTGCAATATTCCATTGACATTTCAACATAGCTACCACATAACTGGAGTTGGTCTCTCATTTCTACGAAAAGTCGTCATTACGACTAAGAAAGCCCGTATTTACGACATTGATGTACTTAATGGCGAGGTAGCTCTGTTACCATTGTTGAAACAACATCTACTGGTTAGTAAGCGTTAAGCTGTGCTTTACACTAATTAAACTGGAGTTGCGACTCAACTACTCATGGTTAAACTGTGCTTCCACTATTGTTGAAACAACACATCTACTCATGGTTAAACTGTGCTTCCACTATTGTTGAAACAACACATCTACTCATGGTTAAACTGTGCTTCCACCATTGTTGAAACAACACATCTACTCATGGTTATTGTTGAAACAACACATCTACTCATGGTTAAACTGTGCTTCCACTATTGTTGAAACAACATTGTTGAAACAACACTTCTACTTACGGTTAAACTGTGCTTTCACTGTTGTTTAAAAAACACTTCTACGGTTATGTGCTTCCACCATTAAACATGCGCTTACTCATGGTTAAACTGTGCTTCCACTTTTTGAAACAACACATCTAAAAAATGTGCTTCCACTATTGTTGAAACAACACATCTACTCATGGTTAAACTGTGCTTCCACTATTGTTGAAACAACACATCTACTCATGGTTAAACTGTGCTTCCACCATTTGTTCGTATATCGCTCCACTGATGGTTCCACTCTGCTCTACACGCAGTTAAACGGTGCCTTCACTGGATCCATTTTGTTTCCACTATGGAAAACTATAATGATAGATAAGGAAAACTATGATGATAGATAAGGAAAACTATAATGATAGATAAAAGATATATAAGTAATAGTTATTGCCATAGTTTCCTCGTTGTATCGCCCGGAGAGCGGAAGGTCGCGGGTTCGATCCCCGACCGCGTCGTACCAAAAGACGTTAAAATATGGTACTTGTTGGTCCCTGCCTGGCGCTCGGCTTTAAAGGGTACAACAAGGACTGGTCGGCTCGGAGTCAGTATAATGTGTCTGAGTGAGGTATTCATGCTTCACTGCGGCATGGTATCTCAGTGGGCTAGCACTATAAAACCAGCTTAAGTCTGGGCTAGTACAAGAAGCCGCACATACACATACACATGCATGCACGTCGTCATATGAGCGAAATATTCTCAAGCACGACGTTAAACCCAATTTCACCTCACCTCACCTCGTTGTATCGGCAGATATCAGGACAGTTTTGTTTGTCCGTGGGGCCCATGGACAAAACTATCCTGATATCTGCCGATACAACTATGGCAATGAGTGACTTGCATCTCATTAATACCGAGTGAAAGCAATTTATATCTTTTTAATTCTTAAAACATTGTGAATTTCCACAACCTTATTTGGGCCCCTCCAGTTTTTGTCAATGAAATCTGTAGTACTATGAAAGTTTTCTCAAGTGATTTGACTGGCTCATCCAAAATGCACGAGCATGACGTTCCTGCACGTGCAATATTCAGGTATAAAAGCAGAACACGTGTTATACCTTTATTGAGCCATGGAGTTCGATAGAGATTGAGACGAGTTGTTGTCTCATATTGACTTTGAGGACGGAGGAGACTTTAAACTTACATCTAGTCAAGTAAGTGAGTGAGTTCAGTTTTACGCCTCTTGTAGCAATATTCAAGCAATATCACGCCGGGCGACACAAGAAATAGGCTTCACAATTGTACCCATGTGGGGAATCGAACCCGAGTCTTCGACGTGACGAGCGAACGCTTTAACCACTAGGCTACCCCACCGCCCTACATCTAGTCAAGCAACGGCGCTTGAGTGACTGGTGAATTTATCGAAGCTTTGCATCAAAATCGGATTCCTTAAAATACACAACGAAATACTAAATGGTGTGTAAACATCCACGACTCTTGGGCGAAAAACAGAAACACACGAATAGCTCAACAAGGTACAGCTGCAAGTGAGCAGTATGTATTTGTACCTCCTCTCTCTGCTGGAATTCCCGCAGACGCCCTCGACTTCTGGATGTGTCGCTATATTTGTGAAATTAAACGACAAGATGGAACCGTGTATCCCGCACTGTCGGTCAAACATATTTGTATCGGTATATGACGCTACTTGCGTGACGTTTGTAAGAGACCAGATCTAAACTTCATGGATGTGAATAAACACGAATTCAGTCAATTGTAACACGGGGCAATTGTAACAAGGGCGATTACTCTAAATGTTTTCGCTCCAGCATTGAGTAGGTGATTAGAGTTAATTCCCTTTGCTTTTCTGCGATACAAATCCAGGCGTTTTTCAGCTGCTCGCTCATTGCGACATACAGTTGACGAAACATCGTTTTTCACATAGGAAAGTAAATTTTTCACAAAACGTAATAAAACGTTCTTAATGCAGTAGATGTTGCTTGGTATGAAATTAACTTTTCAAGGATGAAATTGAAGTATTACGACATATTTTGAAGAAGAAATATTTGCGAAGCCCAAAGTTGTTAACATGTGACGTCTCATGAAACATGGCTACTACCATCGGGGGCAATGGTAACACTGTGTTACAATTGCCCCCATGTAATGTTCCCTTGTGTAAATTGAAGTAAATTATGATGAAGGTTTTATGTTAGTTCTTTTCTAGTTGTATCACAGTAGAACAATTTCAGTGTTATGTTGATTGTATTAGCACTCGGGTGAAAGTTTTTGGTGTTAGTCTTTGTATTATGTTTTGGGCATACCAATACAAGAATTTTAAACCAAAACATTTTAAATGTCGATGGTGATGACGGTTTAATGTTAATCCATTTCCACCTCAATTGACCAAGATAACATCTTTCCACATTTTATTTTGATTTTATTTTGAAAATAAACAGATTAATACATTTGAACCTTCTCTGTTACAATTGCCCCATCCACATGATACAATTGCCCCGTCCACCTGTTACAATTGCCCCGTCCACCTGTTACAATTGCCCCGTGCTAGGGGTCAATTGTAACACTTGCAGTCATTGCATTCGATAGGTAATAACTTTGTAACGACATGATAGTGAACTTTAAATGACACCGAGGTTTAAAGCCAAGATGCCAATGTACTAGTTGGTACCGATTAACTCTGTGAGCGGTCGACTAGTATCGAATTACAAGAAGTTAAGTAAAAAGTGTTACAATTGACCCCGGTCTCCCCTAACTTTCGTGCCACACTTGATGGTGTGATGAAACAAATCAACCAAAAGGGTATTGGACTCTCTTCACGCAAAGCACAGCCTGTCACGCCTTTAGAAGAGGAGAAGTTGTGGGCCAAGGGCACATTTTCTTCTGAGACTTCTTGTGGTTCGCTACATGCAGTTTACTTCTACAACTGCAAAGGTGAATTTTATTCACCAGGAGTGAATATTAAGTGTTTGTTTGTTTCAGGGATCTCAAGCAATACGCCCGATCTGACAACCCACGATGTTTTGGGGGACTTCTCAAGACCTTCTTGGCAGCAATACCGGCCGAGGGTCCTTTCTACAGACGACCCCTTGCAGCTAAGGACGGAAACTGCGATACTCACAACAGAAAGTTGGGATACGCACATTGCAGAAAATGTCCAAGACAATGTGCGACGAGGCAGGTCTAGATGGAAGATTTACTGGCCATTCAGGAAAGGTACAATTAATTCGATTTCATGACCTTTCAGTACATGAAACGCTAAGTAGTGAATTATACTCAACAAAATAAGTTAAGGACCATCCCAAAATCCAATACTTAAGTGTTATGTAGATCATAGTATGAACTTTTATATACTTTGGTATTGAAAATTGGGATGGTCATTAACCTTTTTTTCGCAGAGTATACAAACGTTTTGCTACTTTAACTCCGCAAACTGATTAATCAGTAAAAGTGTTCTCTTCAATTGTAACATTGGTGTGCCAATAAAACATTTGTATTTTCTCATAAAGCAAAATGTTCATTTCTTTCTTCAGGTCACTTTAGCGAGAACCCTTTTCAACGCCAAGTTTGACGAGGAGCTCATCATGGCGAGAACAGGCCACAGACGCAATGCTGTGAGGGTTTACAAGCGCGCCTCTGAGGAAATCAACAAGGAAATATCGGACAAACTCCAACCACCTCCACCTAAGAAGCCAGGACGAAAACAAGATGATGTTGTCACAATCGACGATGCCGACGATGCCGATGACGCCGTCGACGGCAACCAGAAGTCACATTCCACAAATGTTGTTATCAAATGTAGAAAACCAGATGGAACATACTAGCATTGAATAAACTGATAAATCGTCTTGACTTTTCTATAAGTTAGATTTAAATTTTAACTCACGCACTGTTAGTTAGAAAGTTATGGTCGTTGACTGATTCAAGATGTTTTCAATTCAGTTTGAACTGATATATTTGGCAATGTGAAAATAGAACTCATCATTTTCTGTTTCCACATCTTGATGACGTCACGATATATCTTACGACAAGGAGTCCTGATATCGATAATTAACAGGACACTTTTATGAATGGTTGCCCCTGGCAACGAGGTGTTAGTGGGATGTAAGTACGTTTAAGCTACCATTCCGCACATTGTGAAATTGTAATTCCTCAGTGGGTTAAAATTTACTTTCCCTGAAAGTTTATCTGTCCTTCCAAAGATGGCTACACCAAGCTTCTACTAATGATTAAGCTCTGCTTATACGGAAAGTATAGCTATGCTTCCATTGATGGTTCGGTGGTTAAGTGCCTCCCCTGACAGTTGAACCATGTCTTGGCTCGGCGCCAGACAAGGGAGTTACGACATAACACTGACACCCGCACCACCGATGATTCGTCTTGGACATTTTGCAAATACCTCACATAGTATTGCTTTCAGTATCAACCTGCTCCTTGGGAAACCTGTCTGTCTTAATCACAAATAAGAACACATCAAATTGATTGATCTTTCTACTTTTTTCTCAAAGTAAGGAGGAGGAAAATGTAAATGAAATGTGTCTTTTAAAAAGACACAAACTCTTTTTACGAGAAAATTTTTGAAACTTTCTCTTGGCAGATGTTCCTTCTCACATTTTTGGACATTTTAATTTTCTGCTCAATTAGCATTATATCCAAGTAGTGAAAGCTGTTATTAAAACAATCACCAATGAAAAAACATATTGGTTCCATTACTAAAGATCCGTTTCCGGCGAAAGAATATTAGGTTTGTTCAAATCCTAGGAATTTTAAGAAAATCATGCAAAGAGGAATTATAGTAGAGATTACAGCAATGAAATTGGTGACGTATTGTCAGAGAGAAAAAAAATATTGCTCTGTCTGCCATGCTTAAAGTAATTTGAGTAAACTGTACTTCCACTAATGGTTAAACAGCCCTTTTACTTACGGTTGAGCTATGCTTCCACCATTGCTGAAACAATTGGTACTACTCATGGTTAAGCTGTACTTCCACTAATTGTTAATCAACACTTCTACTTAAGGGTAAGCTGTACTTCCACTAATTGTTAATCAACACTTCTACTTAAGAGTATTCTGTATTTCCACTAATTGTTAAACAACACTTCTACTTAAGGGTAAGCTGGGCTTCCACTAATTCAGTTATTATAGCAACCTGGTGAATTGTGAGAAAAATTACTGCTTTGTCTGTCATGCTTAAAGTAATTTTTGTTCCGCAATATATAATGCAACGCACGGATACAAAACTGAATGTTATAGATTTACCTTTGATGTTGGATATGATTCCGTTGATATGCAAATGAATACACCTCACTGAAACACCTAGCTGCAATTGATTGCTGACTTCTCGTAATCATCTGAAACTTACACTTCATCGTGAAGGCCTCTGTAGGCATGTGGATCTACTTGTCTTAATACTCAAGGCATTGTCACGCAAAATACGTATTAGGCGTGCACAGTTGTCGCTGTTTTCGTCATTTAAAGTTGATGAATTCTTGTTTCGTGACAGTCATGGCTTATTCCTAACATGGAGTATATTAAGTGAATAATGCTTTATGGCAACACTTGTGTCGTGGCGGACATAAATTCTGGTCACAAATACCAGTAATTGATATTTTGATTAAAGTTCTTTGAGCTGAAAGCCACAATCAAACTGACACGAAAACTGACTACCTGATCAATTTTATTTGTTTTACAACAAGCAGAGACTTGAATACCCAATGCCATTTAGAAAGTGGTCAAATGTAACATATGTTATATTCGTGATTACACTTTCTCAGTAAAGTACAGATTCTAGTACTTTTAAATTTGTTGGGTTGAGTCCAATCCGGGATTCGAACCCACACCCTCAGAGTCGGGCACCTAATCGCCAGCACACAAAGTCAGACGCCAAGACCGCTCAGCCACCGCGGCTTCCACAAAAATGGAAGTCTGACAACTGGTAGTCTAGACTGCGGACTTTGTGTACCCCTCTGATAAGTGTTAATTGGCACGGCTCCCACGGCCGAAAGCTATGAAATACACAATGCCATTTTTAGAAAGTGGTCAAATGTAACATACGTTATATTTGGGATTACACTTTCTTAGTAAAGTACAGATTCTAGTACTTCTAGTACTTTTCACTTATCAGCCACCGCGACTTCTACAAAACTGGAAGTCGGACAACTGGGAGTCTGGACCCCTCTGATTTGTATTCCTTCATGTACACACTTATAGAAGTCGTGCTTCCAGTCTTGGTTGAACAATACGCATGATTTAGAATCCTATTGGGGTTGAGTGAGTCAGAATGTAACGTCCTATTATTCTGTCCATATAGCGACGAGAAGTTCTCATTACAAAATTATCTTTTAAAGGAATTACTTTATATACACATTTCAACATTACAATAATATATACAGTTTAAAACACCATCGTACCAAATTTATAAAACGCAATTGAGTATATATCTATAATTTATGATACAGATCAGTTACACAGAATATGATAACGAGAGGCCGGCTCACGTAGGTAAACAGATCTTTCAGATTTTCTGCTTTATAATGTGAATCCCTTGCAAATGAAAAATGCACAACAAAATATGATTGATGGTGATGTTTCATCGCAAGGGATACACTTAGGAGCTTCGTCCTCATCCTAGCAGATATTCAACAGTAAAACAAATGTGGCCAATATGTAATCATCGTAAAATGACCTCATTAAGTCTTTACTGACAACCCGGGTAGGTATGAATGAGTGCTGGTATAAATTCATGATGTTTGTTGATTCCAATATGGATGCCCATCTCGTTTTACCTAAGATTCGGATTATAACTTTGCATAGTGAAATCACTACACAAGATAACGTTTTGTCAAGGGCTGCTTTAGCTGCAGCATCGGCTTTTGAATTACCTGCTATGCCTAAATGACGTAGTAATTAGGTAAAGACGATGTAGAAAGATCGTTATACACTTCTAAAATGTCAAGGATTATTGGATGACTCAAGGAGGCACTTTGAGTGCCTGGAGGCAAGACAAAGAGTCTGGAAAGATGATTAAGTTTTCACAATGGTTTTGCTGTTTAATAGAGGTCAAAGCCATAATGAGAGATTTGACATCAGCATTGAATATTGCACCATTATCTGGGATTCCTGAGGAGACTTGGATCCAATGACAGTAGCACTGACAACTTTGCCATCATCCTTGGATCCATATGTAAAATGGATCGATGAGTGTTATTTTTTTTCGGAATTGGTTTAAAAACAATATTCCTGTTGGAACACCAAAGGGTTTGTTTGATTTTTAAAAAAATGATTGGTGAGGGTAATGTTTACCTCAGGCGCCATCATCAGGGAGAAGAAGACAGAAGTCGGTGAGGTGATATAATAGCATCTATTTTAGCTGCAAAGATGTGTGCTTGAAGTATCCTAATTGCATAGACTGAACTGTATGACTGGATTTTCTAGTTCACACTCGATTATTTAGAGACCTCCCTGTTATAGCCGGAATATCGCTGAATGTAATGTTGACAACAAATAATCATAGAATAAGCATCAAATCCGAAAATCATTAGAAGACAAAGTACACACATCACTTTGAAACTGGCGATGTTCGATGCAAGTACATGGAGGCATGATATCACATGAAGGTGTATTCTGCTCCTACATCCCACTTCCAGTCTAGGGCTATACGTGGCAACAATACCCCGTTTAAAGCTGCGACATTGTCTCAATTGAGGGGTAAAATCAAGTAAGCTAGTGAGAGAACGACAGTGAGAATGGCTTTGTGCTTTAAGCGATATTGAAGGTATACTGGGCTTCACATGGGATTCACAAATTGTAAACATGGGGAATCGAACGTCGGTCTTCGACGTGACAAACGAACGGTTTAACGACGAGGCTAACCCAAAACTATTGCTTCTGGATATATTTACATCATCGTACTTGAACTTGTAGACAAACGAACCTGAAGTTCAGGCACATTGCCAGAACAGGCAAATGTTCTACTTTGAGAAATTTAAATAAAGTTGGAATGGGTCATAGTTTGAATGGAAGCATGGATTTTTGATAAAATAGTTGACCAGTAAATTAATGAAGGTAGCTCAGGCCCCGATTTCTCGAAACAAACTTAAGTCTGAGTTTTGACTTAAGTTAGAGTTTTTACTCATATTTGAGAAAACGCATTTCCCAGAATGAACTGAAATCGATATTAAACTCAAACATAGTAGACAATTTGTGTTTGGTGAATAGAATAATTAAGTTGTTTGGGCTTTTATATTTAAAAAATGCAGCTGAGATAAAAATCCAGCTGTTTCAAATTGTCAAACTCAGTTTGAAATTTGAGTTAAAACTTAAGTATGTTTCGAGAAATCGGGGCCAGGTAAACTTAAACTGAGTTTCCTTATTTTGTATGTTTACCAAATTCATCTCATGTTATGAAATACACAATGCTATTTTTAGAAAGTTGTCAAATGTAACATACGTTATATTTGGGATTACACTTTCTTAGTAAAGTACAGATTCTAGTACTTTTTGGGTTGAGTGCCATCCGGGATTCGAACCCACACCCTCAGAGTCAGGCACCTAATCGCCAGCACACAAAGTCAGACGCCTAGACTGCTCAGCCACCGCGGCTTCCACAAAAGTGGAAGTCGGACAACTGGTAGTCTAGACTTTGTGTACCCCTCTGATAAGTGTTAATTGGCACGGCTCCCACGAAAGCTATGAAATACACAATGCCATTTTTAGAAAGTGGTCAAATGTAACATATGTTATATTTGGGATTACACTTTCTTAGTAAAGTACAGATTCTAGTACTTCTAGTACTTTTCACTTATCAGAGGGGTACACAAAGTCCGCAGTCTAGACTACCAGTTGTCAGACTTCCATTTTTGTGGAAGCCGCGGTGGCTGAGCGGTCTAGGCGTCTGACTTTGTGTGCTGGCGATTAGGTGCCTGACTCTGAGGGTGTGGGTTCGAATCCCGGATGGGACTCAACCCAAAAAGTACTAGAATCTGTACTTTACTAAGAAAGTGTAATCCCAAATATAACGTATGTTACATCTCATGTTCTTGACAGTGTTGTGGAGTGTCAATGTCGATGTCGATGCAGCTGAGATGGAAGATCTTCAACAGCCTATCAAACACCCTGTCATATCCGGCCCCTGATTATATCGGCCTTGTTGTTTCCACCGCTAATGATGTCGCTCACAGAAGCAGGACGTTGTGTGGCAACGGATCTATTCTGATAGGCGCCGATCAAATACGCGTGGACATTGATGGTGGGTCGTTGTGTTGTGTTAATGCGCATCCTAACTACATGGATAACATTATGAAATGATACAGTGTCGTGGTCCTCTATCAAGGCAGAACAGAGGGACGCTGTAGAAAGGATCGGTTGTGTTAGAAAAACTCGAGATTAGGGACCAATGTAATGGGCCATTATACGACATGCGTCGACACACATAAGGGAAGAGTTCAACGAGATCTCAACGTCAGCAGTTGACGCAGACACTTAATTGGCAGTCTGAATATCTTTGACAAAATGATAGTGACGTTAATAATACGGATGGTCTTAAAAGTGAAACAGAGGGCTTTCTTTTTTAAAAATACCCGTGAAGGTCCGGGTTAGAATGAACCTTCAGTAACCCATGCTTGTCGTAAGAGGCGACTAATGGGATCGGGTGGTCAGGCTCGCTGGCTTGGTTGACACATGTCATCGGTTCCCAATTGCGCAGATCGATGCTCATGATGTTGATCACTGGATTGTCTGGTCCAGACTCGATTATTTACAGACCGCCGCCATATAGCTGGAATATTGCTGAGTGCGGCGTAAAGCTAAACTCACTCACTCACTCTTTTTTAAATGACCAGTCATATCCCACTGTCACATCCCAATGTTGACATGAAATATTGACTGTGTAATAAAATAGCTGAGTCTGTCAGTGGATGTCCTTTCTTGTTACAGACAACATATCTTGCAGTGTTATTGCCGTCTAGACCCCGGGGTCTAACATATCCAGGTGGTCATGGAAAATGACGCTTGTAAACCTCTTTGGAACAGGCCATGAATTCCAGCCAACAGACCAGATCTTGTTCTTTTTGATAAAGCCAGTGAAATTTGGTATGCTATTGAATTGTCTGTCTCTTTTGATAGTAAAGTGATTGCAAAAAAAATCAGGAAAAGCATGATAAATATGAGGACCTTTGAAACGTTTCGCTTGCATCCCAAGTACACTTTCGCCAGGCTCCCCATTGTTTTCGGTGTCATTGGTTTGGTACCTCCTGATCTCTTGACGCAAATCTGGAGCGTGCCAGGGTCCTCCATCGGGACCACGGCCTTTCCGACACTCATGCAGAAGGCTGCAATGTAGGGTATTCTTGGCAAAAGTTCGACTGGACAGCGCTTCCTGGGAGAAAATACTTTCGCTGTCTGGTCTGCGTGTAAAGAGGGCCTTGAGCTGATGATGAACCTAACCAGCCTGCCTGTATCAGGATTACCCGAGCCCTCTTTGCTTCACGTATAGATTTTAATTTGTAAATAATGACAATGAGTGTGTTAATATACTTTTACGACGTTTTAAGCAACATTCCAGTAATATCACGGCGGTGGACACCAGAAATGAGCTTCATACATTGTACCCATGTGGGGAATCGAACCCGGGTCTTCGACGTGACGTGTGAACGCTTTAAGCACTAGGCTACCACAACGCCCCAAATACCGATGACAGTAGCGACGATGGTGATGATGGCCTTTTTGATGCCGTTAATATTCTTCTGTTATTGCCGCACTAGTTTATGAACACAAGACAGGGCTCTTTAGAAACAGTCACATTAATGAAATGTGGAGTAACGCTGGATCCCAATCCCCCCATACCGTTACCCTTTAACTGTTACTAACGGTACAAGTCACACGGTGCGGGCAACACACATATCTCTGTCTGATGGAGCATGTGCTTAGAGGTGTGTGATAAACCCTCTTCAGCCAAGCAGACTCATGTTCCCACGTTAGCGCTGCACGGCTATTAGAATAAGTGATACACTACATGCTTAATTTGTTTTCCTATCGATTTTTGTAGCAGGACACTGGTTCAAAGGGTGTCTGACTCATGAAATTGGTTTGTCGCTTGTTTTATAGAAATAAATTGCACTGCGCCAAACAGCTGCTGTTTTTCAGAGACACACTTCCCGACTTCTCGCTGGGTAGTCAACATAAAACCAACTCCCATCTGTTGTACCGTTGATTATGATCAACGTTGTGTACTTTAAAGTCTCTGCAGTATGTCACAGCGTTTACCGTTTATTGTTTATGTGATGGTTGAATCTTAAATCTAGCGCTTCCAAAACATTCAAATCCGGGAGTGAATAAACCAACAAAAATGATTATAAAAATTTATTGCGGAAAATGATGTCACCAAATGATCAAAAATAAGGACACGTGATGTGATCAAAACAGTGACGTAACCATTTGATTCAAATAGTAATGCCACCATGTTATCAATAATATGGAGGCGTTAATTTGCAATGAAAAATTGATCAAACCGAATGATCAAAACAGTGATGGCAAGAAGAGATCAAAACAGTGACATTTACTGATAAGAAACTGGGGTGACATCAGCTGTTTGAAATACACAAATGCCGTTTTCAAATACAATAGTGATGATAACATGTTCTATGGTTGATACCAGGCGTCCAGTTCGTGATTTTGCTGATCAAACCAACGACACATACTTTGATCAATGTTGATGCGGGTTATAAAAAAGTGTTGACACGAGTAGACCAAATATTCTGTGAATATGGATGACATTAGTTTATAAGAATTGGGCACTATATTATATTTTAACACTTACCAGCGAAAATAGCAACACACGAGACACGGGTCCATTCTATTTATGCACTCGTCCCTGAAGATGGTCATCAAAGGACAGAGAGCGGTTCGTCTTAGCTGATTT